ATATATGATTCATATTAATTAATTTGTGTGTTTGTGAGATTCTGTGGTTCAGAGACGCGTTTAAAAAAGGCGGAGCTTCAACCTGTCCTGCAAACTATATTTCCATATGGAAATGGTTCGTGTCAGTCCTGACCTTAGATGATAAATGAATTAATAAAATGCACTATAAATACCAATCACAATCATGATGCTAATTCCAGTTATTGTGAAAATTTCAATGAAAATTCATTTCTCAGACCCATTTTGTTGTCAATTTTCAAATATGAAGGTAAGAAAATTGTGTTTAGGAATTGAAAGGACATTTTTTGGCAGGCATCATTGTTTTGGAAAGTGGCGAAGTTGTCCGCATTTTTTTTTCTCAATACATATTATAATAATCGAACAATTTTAAAAAAATATTCCTTGCATGCCATTAGTGATATTTCAAATGTGATTGATTCCATTCCTTTAATCTTCCAAACTAGATATCTTAGAACTAATACTATTGGGATCCATCCAAACAACTGCAAAAATTAAAACTAACTGTGAGGTGTAAAAAGTAAGTCTATGAACATTTTCATAGAAAACATTAAATACCAAAATAAGCAATATTCCAAATGACCCATCATTTTTGAAAATACTAGGACCATATTCATAAATGCAAGAAAATCAAAATATTGCAATACAATAATTGAAATTTCTCTCAACTGTTGAAAAATTGTTGGAAATCATTTAGAGATAGAGATATCTCGTCCTGCTGCCAACATTAGGGTTTTAGTTGTGATCTGCTTCCTCCTGAAGATACAAAATATTTCTTGGCAGATAATAATCTTGGTATCAAAGGTCTGGCAAATGATCTAATCAACAACTACCTCAATGAAAGGGTACAAATGGTTCAAATAGAGGGTGTACTGAGCGACCCATAAGAAATTAAATACGGAATTCTCCAGGGTACTGTTTTAGGGTCATTCTTGTTTGTATTATATTTGAATGATATTTATCCATTGATATTTCTGGAAAAGTGGTTTCATATGCTGATGATACAGTACTAATAATTGATGGAACAGCCTGGGAAAATGTAATATCTCACACTATAGTAAGTTGGCTTGATGATAGTTTCCTGACGATAAATACTGATGAAACATCTTACATTTCATTTTGTAGTAACAGACATGATTTTCCCAATGCACAAAACATCAATGTTCATTTAACTAGCAGAAATAAGAACATAACTTTGAAAAATCTAGTTCAGTAAAGTATCTCGACCATAATCTCAGTTGGAAAATACATATAGTCTATCTTTGTAAAAGACTCAGAGCCCTTTTGTAAGTTTTCCGAACACTTTAAAATATACTGAGTATCAATAATTTGCGCAGTATATATTTTTCGTTAGTTCAGTCTCTCCTAATATATGGAAATCTAGGATGAGGTGGAGTCTATAGTACAACTGTACAACCGCTTATTGATATTTATATTTCACAACAGAAATAAGTTAAAAAATCATGAACATGGATATGAAAACCCGACTCAAAGCGAATAACCTAGATATACCAAAAATGAACAAATCTATTGGACGAAGATCAATTACATATATTGGACCCAAATTATTCAATCTTGCTCCAGATCATATAAAAACGGAATCTGTGTTCAGTTATTCNTTATTGATAATAAATGTTAGTGGTAGTACAATGGCGTCGCACATTAAAACCAATGTTTCTGCAGTTATACCATCATGTCCAGGTGATTTTTTGAATTTCAATTCATTTATTATGTTTTTCACTTCAATCGGTTCTGTGGGGGCAAGAAAGAGGGAGTGACAACTTACAGTTTTCTTTTCTTTATAATTACTGGGTCTATTTATTGAACTTGATAATTGTTTTCCTACATTGATGAAAACTTCATTAGATACTTACCATTCTTTCCTAATGTATCCAGATATACACATAAAATCATAAGATATTCATAAAATCTCAGAAAATTATTGTTCAGACCGCGAAAAAAAGTTTACATATGTGGTACTCTCAGTGATCCTATGACTGTTACATATGGCGTACCTCAAGGAACAGTACTGGGTGCCTTTCTATTTATAATTTATATGAACAGCATTCCACACCTTGATACCACAGAAAAATAATAAGTTTTTCAGATGACACTGCAATATTATATGAATCTGATACTTAGGTGAATTTTAAAACAGAAGCTGAAACTGATTTTAGTAAAATAGATAAGTGGTTTAGGTATAACAAATTACCTCTAAATTGAGCTAAAATAAAGTACTTATCATTTTCTTCTCGTTTCAATCACTTACTCAATATGAGTTCATTACGATTTGGAAATAACTCCATCAAATACTTAGACATTGTGATACACAAAAAAATTTACCGTGATTAACACGACAGTTGTGTAATTTGTAATATTACAGGCTTTCAAAATAAACTGATCATGCAAAATTGTAAACATTTCTCAGTATTTCAATTTCTATTTCAATTCCTTCTACTGATTTGTTACCACAGATAGTGTTGCGATCATGTGTCTACTTGTCCTTGGAAAACTTAATAAATCATCAGCAGGTCATATTTCCCATAAAATCGATAAAATATGAGGATAATTACGGTGTTTATCTGCCTTGATCTAAACCATAATTATCAGATGAATCATCAGAGGCAAATCTTTAGTGTTGTTCAGATTTTCTCGTCAAGTTAATTAGATTCAGAGAAGTGTGGAAGTGTTTCTGAGTTTCAAATAATAAGTTATTGTAGAAAAATCTTATTTAAAATTTGTCTTGAGAAAGAAAGATTTTGGCTTTTTACTACTCCATCTTAATACAATAAAATGTGGGAATCTTCCAAAGGAAAGAATTAAAAGATGTCTTTATACATAGATGTGTAGATCATGCAAAGAAGTAACTTTCAGACACAACCTGCAAGACAAATGCCTTTTGAAACAACTACTTCCATATAAACATTGAATTACACGAAAGAAAAAATACTTTCGAAACAAATACTTTTATATGAACACTGAATTAAATAAAAAACACTTTCGTCTAATCAGTTTGTATTCCAAACATTCGTTATGGAGTCAATTCGGATATCATTTGCATGTTGTCTCATAAGACAACAGGATGACCAGTTCAGTTTGAGGAGTGCCAGATGATGACAGTACTACCAACTGTCGAAAGCGCTCGCAGATAATTAATAGAAGTTTTGTTCTTTAATCCGCCTCAATGCACTTAGGCGTTCTTACTATATAAAAGAAAAACAAAAAGATAAAACGTTCAGTTTGAGTAGAGCCCTGAAGATGATAGCACAGCCTGATATCGAAAGCACTCGCATATAACAATAAGAAGTTATTACTGATTTATTACACATGAATTCTTCATAGGTATCTGTATATGTAGAGTAGGAAGGGTGAGTGTGAGCCCACAGCACTTAGGTCACATGTGACCCATTGCACATCCTCCCGAGGAGTTGTCCTCCGAGGTCATCCTGTCCTTTCCAGGAAGGTGGACAGGTCACTGGGAGATATATCCTTTATATCAGCAGGTGTAGGCCAAGACTCGCCGAACACTCTCTTATTGACGATAAATCCGGACACTTGCATACAATATGCCTGATAGTTACATCTTTCTGTTCACTCATCCTGCATAGAGGTGTGTCCACTACCTCCAAACTATTGAGGTGTTTCCTTAGTTGACAGTGGCCAGTCAGAAATCCTACTGTTAAGCGTAGGTTTTTCATGGTCATCACCGGATACTTCTTCGGCGCCAGCTTCCCAGGGTCGCCCATGGTGATCCTGGCAAGAATGCATCCTTTGATTACATTAGATCTCTTCAGGAATTAAGCATGGGTGTGACGTATGGCTGGTTCCGCAATTGTCGAAGTCATCAGGCCGTAGGTGTCACTGGGTTCTAGAATTCTTAGTCCAGCCGCTTCCTTGGCTGAAGAGTCGGCAACGCAATTACCTTTACTACTGTCGTGCCCTTTAACCCACCTCAGGATAATGTTATTATCTACCGAGGCTTTGGTTAAATCTTGGTGGCACTCTAGTACTAACCCTAAGGTAAGGTCTGTTACTGCTACTATCAGTGCAGATTGTTATGCTGGTATTTTTCCCATTCTCCACTTAATCCTCAGGCCTAGTGTTCCGGAGTACACTCCACATCCTGAGCATTCTTTGGTTTTTAAGCCGTCTGTATATATGCGTATTGCATTTGTAGCATCTGACTCTGTTCTGTTTTGTTTGTATTTTGTAGGGTTTATTAAACACAAACCTGGGTTCAATTACATCACTGGTTGCCTGCAGCAGAGGTTGCGCAGGTTGCTCAGCCTCAATTAACTAATTGCTACTTCGAGGTTTACACCAGTCGTTTGCAATCATAACATGGCCATTAACGCAGCCTCCTTAACGTACATGTCCATACTTTGAAGGTATTGCTAACCTATAAATGATGTACCAAAATTGTTAGAGATCGGGTTCGCAAGACGTCAATGAGCCAGCACAGTGAACAAAACATTCGAGAAACTATTGCACTCGTCGAAATTGATATTTTCCTATCCTGCCATAAGGAACCAGAACGGGAGTATTTTGTTATTGTTAAATTTACTACCAAACAGCAGAAAGTCAAGCATTATATTGGGAAACTCGTAGCAGACAATGAAGAAAATGCTTACGACATAACTTATTTATGTAAAAGTAGCAAGATAGACAATAGCCTTCAAGCCACTCCTTTCAAAGATTTGAAAACAAACGGATAAATAGAAAAGCACTACTTCGATGAGACATATATTTGTAATAGTTAATCACTGGTTTTCAACCGTAGAAGAGTTCACCAATTTCTCATCTTGAGTTTTCTACAGCATATCCAGAATTCGCAAAATCCCATTCCACTTTTCTCAAACTTCCTGTATGATTTGAACCGTCATCAAAATCTCCTGTGAAACACTGGGAAAATCGAATTACCCACACGGAAAACATGAGCTAATCTGATTCACAAGTGTATGTAATTTAGAGACAAAAATAGTAATTATTCTGCTCCGGAGAAGTACATCATCACCTACTGCTGACAAAATATATATAAAATTATGCTTTTGAAAAAGTGTTAATGCAAACAAATCGCTTGCATTGTTCAGTAGTTTCCAAGTTTTTGTGACAATGGTCGCTTTCAAACACAATGAGGTGAGTTAGATTATATTTTTTCAGTTCAATTGATTTTATAGGGACTGTTTGAGTATTTCGTTCATTTTAAAGAAAAACATTTGGTGAATTTTCATTTTTTCTGAAGCGAAGTTTAGTAATGAGACCAATCATATTTCCATAGACTTAAAATGATTTCTTTGCACTATAGGTAGAAGAGTTTAGCTAGAAATACAATATTTTGATGATACTAGTTCTAATACCAGAATACTGTATTTTTCATGTTATTTGATACAACATTATATTGAGACTCACAAAACAATTTTTTAAAATTGAAGAGTATACTGAAGAACTGAGATATATTGAAAAAGCAGTGTATTTCTAAGCTAAAAATTTATTTTTAGTCATTATTCACAATTACAAGCCTTAAAGTTTTGAGCTGTTCTTCCTGAGAATATTTTAGCACAAGTTGTCAGTTGTGCTATAATTTAGCATAAGTAAATAAGAAAACACAAAAATGTCTCCACTGATTTCATCGTTTTCTATATGCTGATTTTTTATAATCCTAATCCATAATTCTTCGATTTGCTTCATGACACTTCCAAGATTACCGATCATAATATCAGATGACATTATTCGTAGTTGTAACTTAACGCATAACAGTATTACTTCAACTTTTAGAAAATTTTCTATTGAAAATGTGCAAAAATGAACAACTGGGTTTTGCAACAGAAATCTTGCTGGTATTGACATTTACGTAGTACCTACAATCTGATGTTTTGTGGAATATTGGAAGTGTATCTGATTCAGTTTCGTCCAATGAATCTTTCAATATTAAAAAAAATGTGTGTGATTGATAACTTATTCACTTTATGGTAATTCATGATTACTTGAATGAAATAATAAAAACACTATTGTCTAAATACCGCTGGTAAATTTCATTTATACGACCGGTTTCGGTATTATCAGACCAGAACTGAAACTGTAAATTAGTTCTCTCTAAGATAATCTGTATGAAAAAAGTAGTATCTGACTGATTGTTGAATAAAGTTCAATTAGAAATGCCACTTTGGCCTGGTTTTATTAAAGTTTTGAGTATTCGTCACATGTTTTTCATAGCAAAAAAATTGTCGAATTTATATTTAAAATATAATATTTTTCGTATACCATCCTTTTTGTCTGCATGCTAATACTCTCCCCGAAATCAATACATTCATATCAGAATTTGAACCAATAAATATGATGGAATTGGAAACTTCAGTCTTCAAACTACATAACAAATGGAGCTTCGACATTAACAGTTAATGCTGACAGTTATAGGACGTATACTTTTGAACTTTGTCAATACTTCGCTACTCTTAGGAAAATTTCCTTCAGAAATTGAACTCATCACACGGTTTCCGCACTTAAAATTAATAATACAAGTACTACCAAGGCTACTGAATGGTGTGCGTAGAGATTGAAAGAATGCAACCTCATACACAAGCCAATAAAAATATTCTCGGACAGTCAAGCGGAGTTGGAAGCTCTTGGCTTGGTAGCAAATTGCCAAAAACGACTCTCCTCAGTAGGAAGACTTAATAGATTGTCTCTGGTCTGGATTCCTGGCCATACTGGCCTGAAAGGCAATGAAGCTGCTGACTTCCTTGCAAAGGAGGGTGCTGAAGCAGCTTCATCGGACCAGAACCTGTCATTGGCATCGCTTTAGGTTTTGTTAAACAAACATTGAACACCTGGATGGCAAGAAGATTCATAGACTTCTGGCAGAAGCTTCCTGGATTGGCTCACTCCAAGGTATTTAATCAACCTTCGAGGCTTGATACCAAACAGGTGTTGGATTACAGTAGGGATGAACTGCGATGTCTAACAGGCCTTCTTACGGGTCACTGTCATTTGATTCATCATATGCAGATACTCGGATTATCTTAAGACAGTGTGTGTAGTCTCTGTTTTGAAAATGATGAAACAGCAGAGCACATACCTTGTGCCTGCCCCACTGGGGACCCAATTAGGTTTTTAGAGTTCGGCAGAGCCGTACTCTTACCATTTGACTTGAAAGACCACTTACCATACAAACTAATCGGCTTCGTTAAGAAGCTGGGTTTATTTGGTCGCATGTGAATAGTGAGCAACAATAAACCCTTGCGGGTTACCGTGGAGGGTCGGATAGATCCACTTATTTTGGACCTAACCCAACCCAACTACCAAAGCTAGTAATTTTCGTCCTATAAACACCCTACCATCATTGGAAGAAATGACTTTCTATAAACAGTTATTGAATATATACCGAATAATTGTTTTTCGATGAAGTAACAATCTGGGTTCAGATCTAATTATTCATATGACACAGCAATTCAAGTAACTTCGAAGTGAAAAGTAGCAATGTAAAGAATTTATCATAGCTGAATTCCTAGATTACGAGACCCTTCGAAACGATACATTCTCAAATTTCGCTAAGAAATTCCTCAAGGAAGTGTGCTTGGTTCTCTACTCATCATTTCTTATTTGAATTATATCAAATACATTGACAGTTACGAATTCATCAACCTATTTGCTGATGACACCTTGCTAATTGTCAGCGATATTAACCTTTCTAATTGATTATATCCTGAGCAACATTAGTAGTAACCTTCAATAAATAAATATAGAGGAGACCAAAGCAATCATTATCACAACGCAATACGAATACAATGTATTAGATATCAGTACAACCAACATAAAGATGGATGGTGAAAATATTGAGGTTGTTGGTGATTTTGAAAACTTTGGCTTCATGATCAACAATACATTTCATTCAAAATAGAAAACTCTATTGGTTTATTTTACAAGAGTTAACTGCCGACTCAACATTCAAATATCTGTTACAGTATTTAAAACAATCTAATAGCCTCATTTTGGTTACTGTGCTAGCCTAATATTTCTGTTTGATGCACATCTTCTCTGCGGAAGTTACAGAAAATGGCAATGGAATTGCTTTAAAAGTGTTACAGATATACTCCCATTAAGATTATGCTGTTAGTAATGAACTGGTTTTTTGTCGAGAGTAGGATATTTCACTTCTTCATGATTTTAATATTCGAAATACACCCAGGATTAGCTTCTATATTCTTCAATTTGTTTATCATTCTCCAACATATAATACACGATAACATGCTAAACTTTTTTATGTTTTCCCTTCCTTTCCGTTGAAATCGTTTTCTGTATGTTAGAATTTATGTCGCCTCTCTGTATAATTTTACATAATTACTGAGTAATAGGGTCTTTTCGAAGGGCTTAACGTGACTTTTTAAGCTGTGTTCATGTTCGCTGATCTGTCGGCTTATCTGAGGAGACACTTTCTCTAGTGCTAAGAGTGCTGGGAAATAAGTATAGCGTAGTCATAATCGATAGGTTTTCCCATTACTAAGAACCCCAGAGAGCTTTCAGCAATACCTGCTATAAACCGGATCCCTTACAGCTATGAAACAGTCAACACTGGAACCACCACGAGAAGTGTAAGTACCTCACACTTCAAACACAAGAAAAATTGTTCCCTGCGGCATACCGACGAATCAGCAGTAGCAATAATGTACTAGTTATCGCGTTTAAAAAGACCCAAGTGCTTGGTAGTTCTCAGAGCTACTATCCAAGATTATGAAAAAAGGTGGTAGAAATTCAGGACCCCAAAACAATTTCAATCAGAACGAAAAGGGAAGTAACATGAATGAAGTCATGCAACTCGCACAATTCATATGATCCCGATAAAGTACAGTTAGCTCTCTGCACTGAAGTGATATAACATTTCTTTTCAGATATCTTTGATCCTGATCTCCTTCGTGGTGATGGGTATACACTGCGAACCAACACTTAAAAAAATGTTGGGAGGATTGTTCGGTGGAGGCTACGGAGGTGGTTACGGAGGAGGGTACGGAGGAGGTGTGCAGCCAGTGATAGTGCAACAACCGCAACCTGTTTACGTCCAGCAACCCCAGCCTGTGTATGTCCAAGAACCTCCACGGACGGTGGTAGTGGAACAGCCTGTATACGTACAGCCAAAACCTGCGCCCCAACCCCCACCCAAAACAGTCGAAGTTGTTGTTGTTGAGCAACCGGCACCGCCGCCTAGACCGGTCTATCGCCCAGCCCCTCAACCCAGGCCTGTATACCATCCTGCTCCCGCGCCTAAGCCTGTGTACCGTCCCGCACCCAGTCCAGTGTATTACCCTGCGCCCGCGCCTGCATATCATCCAGCTCCTGCACCTGCGTACCATCCAGCCCCTGCGCCTGCGTACCATCCCTCTCCAGCGCCTAAACCAGTTTGCTGCGGAGGCCAACCAGGAAGCAGTGGTTATGGCGGAGGCGGCGGTGGAGGTGGAGGCGGGGGAGGAGGCTCTAATGGGGGTTATGGAGGAGGGGGTGGTTTCGGGTTTGGAGGAGGTGCAGGGGGAGGATATGGAAAATGAGACTTTATCTGTTGTGTTGCATTTTATATTAAAGTGGTGATATTTTGATATAGTAATAAATAAGAGGTTTGTAACGGTTTGAGTTTTTTTTATTTCTTAGAATAGGTTTTGTTTTAGTGTTGGATTGAAGTATTGGTGATTTAAGTGATAGTTGGAATATCCCAAGGAATTGAGATAAGTTTCTTGTTATTCATTGTTTGTATAATATTTCATAAATTCTATCCGTACAGTAGAAAGGAGATGCTCGGTGGAATTGAGTAAAATAATCCTAAACCATGATGTATAATTGAAAAATTAATACAAATCTCATGAAAATAAATTGTTTCTTTCAATAAATAGAAGTAAAATAGAATACAATTATGAATATCTTATTCAGAGTCAGAAAAAATTATAGAATTCGAAATAGTATCAGGCATCTTAACTGATGATCATTTGAAATTGAATTCAAATATCATCAACTTCTATAGGTACCTGTAAAAATGTTGATAGTCATTATGAAGCATCCACAAGACAGTCACTGAACTTCGCAACTCTATAACGGCGGCAGAAGTTATCTAAAACGAGCAGGTAACATCAGATACTACATTCGTATGTATTTATAGAAATAATGTTTCAATACTATTGGAAAAAAATCAATTATTTTACGGTTTCTTGTTGATTAAGTAGCCACATCTTCCAACCATTCTCAATTGACCATCTGTGATTGACCTCTAGGCCAATCACAAAAGAGCAAATTCATTACTTCCTGGTTATTTTTCAACTATTTTCGATCGCAAGTTAGCCTTGATAATTTCCACTTACAAAAGATATTCTCAAAAGTCAAATTTGATCATTCAACTGACAGTTCGTTCTGAAAAATATAGTTAGTAACGAAAAAAAAAATAAAAACATGCATTTCGAAAGTGAAAACTGGTGTACCACACTAGAAATTTTTATTGTGGCAAATAATTGTATTGTCCAAAAGTTCATCAGTGAATAATGAAATGACACTGATTGGAAATTCATAAAGCTTTATGTCACTATTAGTCCTAAACAGCTTTTTGGAGTAGTGGTTAGAACTTTGGACTAGTTTGCTACGGGTTTTGGGTTCAATATACGGTCATATCTCCGGTAAGTTTTCTCAGTTTTCTCCACTGAAACTCTTTGAAACTGAGTCAAATAATAAAAATATGAGATATTTTTAATGCTTCTCAAGTTATTTTTCGATTTCTCTTAATGCAGGTTGATGGTATTACACTTATTCGGGATATCCTCTACAAATGAATATTTATTTCATATTCGACGTCAAAGAAAAACTAAAGTATTCAATTCGCTAATATTAGCCATGACTCGCTCGAATGCCTCATGCCTTCGGCTCGAGTTGAGGAAACTTCACTCTCACAAGTAATGAATACATTTCTTGTTCGTTGAGTATATACTACTGATGAATATTTCGTCGAATGCTTATTTCATGATTTTAATATTCGAA